TCTGCTGCTAGTGATATAGCAGCAGCAGATGATTTGGAAAGCACAACAGAAACAGAAGGTTTAGATTATGCAGCAGAAGCAGCAACAGACACAGCAGCAGCAGCAGCAACAGACACAGCAGCAGCAGCAGCAGCAGAAGAAGATGCTGCAGCAGCAACAGATGCAGCAGCAGCAGAAGATGCAGCAGCAAAAGCAGGAGACGCAGCAGCAGCAGAAGATGCAGCAGCAACAGCAGAAGATCCTGCAGCAGCAGCAGATGCAGCAACAGCAGCAGCAGGGGATGCAGCAGCAGATGCAGCAGCAGGAAATGCAGCAGCAGCACCAGAAGATATACCAGCAGGAGATGCTGCAGCAGCAGCAGATGCAGCAGCAGGAGATGCTGCAGCAGCAGCAGATGCAGCAGCAGCAGATGCTGCAGCAGCAGCAGATGCAGCAGCAGCAGATGCTGCAGCAGCAGAAGATGCAGCAGCAGCAGATGCAGCAGCAGCAGATGCTGCAGCAGCAGAAGATGCAGCAGCAGCAGAAAACGCAGCAGACATTGCAGCAGCAACAGAAGCTGCAGCAGATGCAGCAGCAGAAGCAGATGAAGTAGCAAAAGAAGATGCTGCAGCAGCAACAGAAGATGCTGGAGCAGCAGCAGCAGAAGATACAGCAGCAGCAGCAGCAGCAGCAGCAGAAGATACAGCAGCAGCAGCAGCACCAGCAGCAGAAGATACAGCAGCAGCAGAAGATGCAGCAGCAGCAGAGACAGCAACGCAAGCTGCGGAGGCGGCTGCAGCAGCAAATGCTTGACGGGCAGCAGCAGCAGCAGCAGCAGCAGCTGCAGCAGCAGCACCAGCAGCAGCAGCAGCTGCAGCAGCAGCACCAGCAGCAGCAGCTGCAGCAGCAGCACCAGCAGCAGCAGCAGCAGCTGCAGCAGCAGCAACTGCAGCAGCAACAGCTGTTGCAGCCAGTAGAGCCGCCGCAGCAGCAGCAAGCACTAAAATAAGGAACAGCAGCAGAAGAAACAGCAGCAGCAGCAGATGAGGCGGGAGCAGCAGCAGCAGCAGCAGCGGCAGCAGCAGCAACAGTAGCTGTGTCCCCAGCAACCACAAGGAAAGCAGCAACTCTTCCACTAGCAGCAGCAGCAGATAAGACAGCAGCAGCAGCAGATAAGACAGCAGCAGCAGCAACAGCAGCAGCAGCAGCAACAGCAGCAGCAGCAGCAACAGCAGCAGCAGCAGCAACAGCAGCAGCAACACAAACATCCTGCTGCAGCAGCAGCGCCAGCAGCTGCTGCAGCACCAGAAGCAGC